TTGATTTGAAATTGACAAAAAATTATAAAAAAATTATTTATTTTTTATTAAAAATAATTTTCTTTGCTTCAATGACTTTAGTTATTCCCCAATATTTAATTTACTTTCCTACAAAAAACTTTCTTTTAAATACTTATCAGAAAACAAAAATTCTTTAACTAAAAGGTTCTCCATTTATTCTCGACATTGCTGGTACTGAAGATGGAAATGGAGGTATATCTTCTGTTTATGGAGATCAATTACAAATGGCTGCTGTTGGCAGACTTGCTACTTTCTTTGTTCATGCCCCGGGCATTGAATTGTCACAAATTTCCTCAACATTTACTAGTTTTAAAATACAAATTAATTATTTTAATTAATTTAACAGCTCCAAGTGGTGTTAAAAGACATGCCCGAATATCACCATTTGACGGGCAAACATTTAAAGTTGAATGGAATCCAAATGAAACTGGTACTAAATTTATGAAAAAAAACATTTCTAAAATTTTCAAAAAAAGGAGAGCATTTAATTGATGTATTTTTATTTGACCGTCAAATCCCTGAAAGTCCTTTTAGCTGTCAAGTTGGAGATCCTGAACTTGTTTCTGTTAGACGAATGCCTCAACAAATTGAAGGGAAAAATTTAAATAAGCCCCACACTTTTGAAAGTTTTTTTAAAATTAATTTTTGAAATAAAATTTTAAAAAAAAGTTGATGCAACAGCTGCAGGTTCTGGAAATTTAGAAATTGTAATTAATAATGGAAGGGTTGCTTGTCGTGTTCATGAAACAACATCTAGACATTTTATTGCAGAATTTACTCCAACACAAGAAATTAGACATTTTGTGGAAATGAGGTGGGAAAAAGAAAAATAAAAAAAATAAATTTTATTTAAAAAAAAAGATTTAATGGAGAACATGTTCGAGACTCTCCTTGGTCTATTCCTTTTATTGAAAGTTCTCCTTCAACAATTAATAGATCAGAACAACCTTTAATTTCTCCACAATTAAAAACAAATGAAAAAGAAGACATGTAAATATTTTTAAAGAAATATATTTAAATTTAAAAATTAAAATTAAAGAATAACAGAATTAATTGGTTCTGGTTTGGATAGAGCTATTGTTGGGGAATTGGCACATTTTGATGTTAGATCTAATATTCGGTTACGAACAACAAATGTTGCTGTCAGAATTGTTGATATTGAAAGTGGGAGGCCTATTGAAAATTTATTTTTAACTGAAAGAGGGCCGGGAACTGTTAGGTGTGAATATACTTTAATGAAGGTAAAAAAATAAATTTTTAAAAAAGATTTGAAAATTTTTGATATAAAAAGCTAATTATTTAAACAAAATTTAAATTAATTTAAAAAGGCTGGTGATTACGAAGTTTCTGTGTATATAGATGACCGTTTAGTTGATGTAGATCAATTAATAATTTCCGCTTTTGATCCTCGTCAAGTACATGTTAAACTACGTGGAAGTGAAGAAGATTACATTCCTGACAAACCTGTCCATTTTATTGGTAAATTTTAAAATTAACAAAAATATTTACATTTTAAAATTAAAAATAAACAAAATTAAGTTTAAAATAGGGTAGCAATCCGACCCTCGAAACCCCGGCCCCGACGATCCGAACTCCGAAGGCTCTACCCCGACAAACCCCGATCCACGACATTACCGATTTCATTTTAAAATTTTTTTAACCATTTATAATATAATTTATTTAAAAAAATAATAAATTAATTTTGTACTTTTTATTTTTTATCAAATTTTTCTATTTATTTTTATAAGTATCTATTAAGTATTTTTTAGTTTACCAAAAATATTTTTATTTTATTTTCATGCAAATCCTTCTAATAATATTTTAATATTTTGTACAATTTTCCGTTTTTTAGTAAATCAATCTTTTTTGAGTATATTTTAGAATTAAATATTTTTACAATTTATTTTTAAATATTAATTTGGATAACATCCAATTTTCCTAATCAATTAAAAAAGAATATTTTTAATTTTTAATTTTTTTAATCAATCAAAATTATCTTTCCCCATAATAGAATCTTTCTTTTAATTATTTTCTTTTGCAAATTTACTTTTTAAAAATTAATTTATTGAATATTTAATTGTTCCCCCTTTTTCCATTTTCCATTTTCTATTACACAAATCAGATGTTGTAAAGTACTTACTTTTCTTTTTTTAGCTTAATCATCATTATTTATAGTCAAAACAAATTTACTTGTTTACTTTTAATTAGTTAACATATAAAAATATATTTTTTTATTTCTTTTTAAATTAAATTAATTGAAAATTAAAGAGAAAGAAAAGAAAATATTTTCTATTTTATTTTTGATTGCTTTAACTTGTTGAAAATACAAAAAAATATATTTATTTATTTAATAGACTTAATTCTCTTTAATTTTACTTTTTATTTAGTAATTTAATTATTTTCTACAAAAATTTTGTTTATTTCTGGTAAAGAATTTTTTATTAATTATTAAAAAAATAAAACAAAATTATTTTTATAGAATTTTTAAAAAATAAAAATTTGTGTCTATAAAATTAATTATAATAAATATTTTTAAAATTAATAAAAATATTGCTTTGAAATTTAAAGACTAGCATTTTTTAATTTTAAAATTATTTTCAATTTTAATTTTTAATCTTTATATATTTTTGTATAACCCTTCTTTCTCAACATTTTTAACCAATTTATTCAATAAAATTAAAAAAATATTTTTTCATTATTTCAATGTCAATTTATTTATTTTTTGTATTTTAATTTGTTCGTTTAACCATTTTACTATTTTATTTTTCTTCTCTTACGAGATCACTTTAAAAATTTAACAAAAAATCTTTTCATTTAAATAATTTTTACAAAAAAAGTTAAAAGTTTGAAAATAAATAAATATTTTTTTTAAATAATTTATATTTTATTTTAAATATTTATTTTCATATTGTTTAACCTTTTTAAACCGTTTTTCCTTTTATTTGAGAGTACCTATATTTAATTTCATTTAAAAATATCAGGGATTGGGAAATGAATTTTTTTAATTTTTAAAAATTTTTTTAAAATTAAATCAAAAAATATACATACATATTTACACACAAATATCCCCATTTTAATCTCAACACAAATTAATCGCTTCATTGAATATTGAGGTGATGATCGACAAATATTTATTTATTTGACTGCAAAAGTATCATCATCATCATTATTTAACCATTTTGTACATGCATAAATAAATATTATTTAAAAAAATATTTTTGTAAAACTATTTTCGCCCTTAATTCTCTCCTTTTTCTGTCCCACTTTTCCCCTCAAAAAAATTTTTTTATTTTAAATTGTACATACAATCCTCTTCTAATCATTTTCTCGGTCCTATTTTCACGTAAATATATTCTTCTTCTTCTCCCTTTCTTCTCTTCTCTTTTTTTTATTATTCTTCCAGTTTTTTTGTCAGTTTTCCACTTTTCTCTTTTCCTCCTCAAAAAATATATAAAAATATTCATTCATTGCACGCAACTTATAGAGGGGAGAAGCTAGTTTAGTTTAGTAGTTTTTAGTTAGTTAGTTTGTGGTTGTCAACAAAAAAAATAATAAACGAGAGGGAGGAGGAAAGGAGACTTACCTAAGAGGTTTACATGACAAATAATATTTACAATAATATTTTTAAATAATTTTTTTGAATTGAAATTGTAGATTAAATTGTGTATTTTAGATTATTTTTAATAAAAATACATACATATTTTATACAAAAAAATAAAATTTTTCTAAGCGTTTCTATCCTAATTTTTAATTAATTAATTTTTGTTTTGTTTAAATATTTTAATTTAAATAAATCAACAACTCTCACACCATTTTAGCTATTTTTAAAAAAATTTTTTTTTACCTATCAATTTTTTATGAAAATTACGAAAATTTATTTTTGTAATTCTTGGTTTTCTTTTTAAATATTTTCTTTTCTTTTTTGTTTTTTAAGAAATGTTTAAAATAAAGTAAAAACTATCTTCTGTTTAAAATATATTTTCCAAAATTTAAAATTAAAATTTTCTGACTTTCCACCTTTTTTGAACGATTTAAATGCCTTGATCAATTTAAATTCTTGCTAAACTCACCAAATCTTTTTTTGTTGAGCTTTTATTTAATTCTTTATTAAATTAATAATTTAAATTTACTAAAATGGAGAATTTGATTTATTTTAAATTTGATTTTTATTAGAATTTTTAACCACGTTCCTATCAATGTATGTTTGCATTTTTTGACCTGAATATTAAATAAATAATTTTATTTTTTTACTTTTTTATTCCCGTCCTGATTCCCAAAACAATTTACACAATTTTTTTGTTTTATTTTCCACATATATTTTTATATAAAAATTTTTTTTATTTTTTTAACTCTTTCCGTTGCTTTCTCTCTCTCTTTTTGTTGTTGTTCTTCCCTTTTCCTCATTTTCCTCTTTTTGTTTGCCTAAATTCTTCGTTATTCCCCGTAAAACAAACATTTTGAGGGGTGGTTGCGCCGCGCAACTATTTTAAATATATTTTTTATTTATTTTTATAAAAATAAATATTATTTTTTAGTTTTTGGGTCAATCAATAAATTTGAAAATAAATTTAAAATTAAAAAAGTAAATATAGTAATCTGTAAATAATTATATTAAAATAATTAAAAAGTAGTAATTGAAAGAGACAGAAATTTTTTTTATCAATTACGTACATATTTTTATCAATTAAAAAAATAATAATTTAATCTTTTTTACTATAATAAATCTCAAATCTTTTGTTTTCATCCATTATTTATTATTTTGTTTTACTATAATTTCAAAATAATTTATCTCATTTTCTCTATACTTTTCAAAATATTAAGATTATCTTTCATTTTATTAAATAAATTCTTTTTTAAAATTGTCTAGGAAAAAAATCTATAATTATACTTTTATAAAAATATTTTTAAATATATATTTTATGAAATTAAATAAATAAATTTATATACCTCCTCAAATATATAAAATAAAAATAATAAAAAATGTCAAACGGTCACCAACAGCAAATAATAACCGAAAATAATAATCCAAATATTCGTCGATATATTTCTCAACTTTATGTTATTCCCGCAGTTGATGCCTCCGAAGCTGGAAAAGGACAATTAGAAATTTCTGTTAATCAAGGACAAGTTCCAAATAATGTTCAAATGCAAGGTTAAATTAAATTAATTGAATGCTTAGTTTCAAAAATTAAATTCTAAGATATGTAACTTGTTTGAAATCACCTTTCTCTTCATTAAATAATTAAAAAAAATTTAAGACGCGGGTCGTTGTCTTGTAACATTTATTCCTCAACATGCCGGAACTTATGTTATTGATGTTACTTTTAATGGACTTCAAGTACATGGATGTCCAATAAAAGTGGATGTACGGGAGAGACAAGTTGGAAAGCCTGTTAGTGCACCTGTATATGCACGGCCAACTACTTCGAGTTAATTTTATCTTAAAAAATCAAAAAAATTTTCAAAATTTAGCTTCTTCCCCTCCTCCAACACGTGGTCCTTCATCTTCTGCCTATTTCTCTTCAGCATCCCCTCAAGCAGCACCTTCACCTTCTTATACTGCAGCAGCACCTTCTCCATCATCTACTCCACAACTTCCCCGTTCTCCCCCACTTGTTGCTGGAGTGGTAAAAAATTTTTTGTAATTTAAAATAAAACTTCTAAATGTTAGGAAAGTTTAGAAAGCCCTGATAAAAATATATTTTTTCAACATTAATTTTTTTAAATTTATTTTAATAAAGGAAGCAGCATTGTTAGGAGGTTACACTGTAGCTCAATATGGAAATGGAGGTGGTGGAGGAATACCTTCTACTACAAAACTTGTAAATTAATATTTTTAATAATATTTTGCTGTTACTAATTAGTATTATTAAAAACTATTACTAATATTCTTAATAATTATTAAGATAGTATATTACATATTATACTTTTAAACTATTTTATTACTAGTTATTTAAATTAATTTAGAAGCCATCCCCATTATCTACACCGCCCTCTACACGTCCAAAACCAAAATTATTTGAAGAAAAAGAAATACCAATATCTAGACCATCAATGCCAGAATCTGCTCAACTTGAAATGACCCGTTCGGCTGAAATGACTCTTTTTAGAGATATTCCAAAAACACCGGTTACTACACCTGTTGAGGCTGGAAGGGAAATACCTGTAAATTAATTAATAATTTTTAGAATGGTAATTCCCCAACTTTCATAGCCTTTTTTAACTAAATCTATAATAATTTTTATTGAAAAATTTTTAATATTAAAGATTCAACATTCCTTTGAACGAATTCCCGAGCAACAACATTACCAACCAAAAGAAAATCCAATAAAAATAACACAAAAATTCAATGATTTACCTTATGCCCCATTAGATCAAAATATTAAAAAAACATTAGAATTATTAAATCAACAACAACAACAAGGAATTATTAGGGAAAGGGAAATTATTGCCCCTCCAATTTCATCTTCTGCTATTTCTCCGATATCTACAGAAAGTGGAGCACCTCAAATACAGTAAAAATATTTTTAATTTTTAAAGTTGAAACCAGTTATGTTGGCCCCCCTATCCCTACTTTACTAAAAAAGGATCTAAAATCAGTCCAAAACCGAAAATCTTCGGTTTTTCTGTTAACCCAGTGCCCTAATGTAACTTTTCTGTTTAGTTTTAATGTTGAAATATTTTCATAGTTCAATACTAGTTTATTCTTTACATTTATTTTTGTATATATTTATGAGGTGTATTATGTTTTTTCATTTCTTTCCATTTATACATTCCTTAAAGTTTATTCATTTAAAAACTTTTTTCCTCAATTTTTATATATTATTTCTTTCACATTTTATTTTATTTAGAACCCACATTGTTGATCCATACAGTTCAGATATAGAGGCAATGACTCCAGGCACTCGGAGAAGATTATTAGAACATTCTGTTTATAAAGCAACTGAATTAAAAGTTTTCTTAGAGGATGTTTAAAAAATATTTTTAATTAATTTAAAGGAAACCCCAACAGACCACGAAGAATCAGAAACTGCTTTAAGTTCAAAACAATCCTCTAAAGTAATTAATTAATAAAATTATTTTTAAATTTACATATTTTTAAAGGCAACAACACCAAAATTAAGTTTAAAATTTCGTGGAAGTAAAGACAAAGTTGGGTCTATAACACCCCCAACAATGACTACAGCAACTATTTCTGCTGCTACAGCAAGTGATGCTTTTGACTGGGGAAAGTCTAAAATTGCCAGTAAACATGAGGTAGAGGGGAGAAGATTTAAATAAATGTTTTTTTAATCCTGGTTCCCAATGAGTTTGATGAGTGATGAGTTGAGTCCAATGAGCCCAATCCTATTGAGCTCTAATTCCCAATGAGTTCCCAATTCCAATACCCAATAAGGAGAGATTTGAATTTATTTAAATTCTTTTTAATTTTTCCTGCTCAAAATTCATTTTCTCTGTACTTTTCTTTTAATTTTTATTTTCTCAATTAACATTTTAATTTAAAAAAGGTTGTTCGTCGAGGTAAAGAAGTGGATGTCCGAATAGATTCACTCAAACTTGGAAAGGAAGACCAACTTTACGTAATTGTTTTACCGCCAGGAATTATTCCCCGTCAAAATATGCCTAATGAATTACCAACATCAGAACAAGCATTGCCTCATAAATTGAAAAAATCTGGGACTAAATCTTGGGAAATTAGTTTTCGTCCTTCTGTTGTTGGGACACACAAAGTAGGTTTTTTAATTAGTGAATATTTTTGTTTGTTTTTAGCATTTAAAAAATATTTTTTAATGTCCTTAAGTACAATATTATTCACAAATGTTTTTATAAAGCGGTTAAGGTTGTTGTAACAATAATTATTCATTTAGGTTTATAATTGGTTAAAGAATAAATTATTTAAATGAGGAATTTCAGAATAAAATTATTCTTTTTATTAATCTAAAATAGTTTATTCCCTATAGTTTATTCCCTACCCATAAAATATGTTATAAATTAGTTTATTTTTACATAAAATTTTTAAATTCCCTTCTTTAATAAAGGTCCATTTATTTGTAAACACAATTCCACACCCTCAATCACCATTTCCTATTCGTGTTTATGACGCCTCACAAATTGTGGTTGGAGATATTGTCCGTCAAAGTGTTCTAAACGACACGGTGGAATTTACTGTGGATGCTGGACGTGCCGGTTTTGGAAATTTGGAAATGGCAATTAAAGATAATGAAGGGATAATAATACCTTCACATGTTAGCCAATTAGAAGCTGGGGCAGCTAAATTTCTCGTTACTTTTACTCCTAATTTACCAGGAACTCATACAGTTGAGAAAATAGAATTGAGGGGAATTTAAATATTTAATATTTAGGTGCATATTACATTTAATAAAGAAGTTGTGACTGGAAGTCCTTTTGAAGTACATATTGTGGAACCACAAATACTTGGACAAGAATCTCAAATGTACTACCTAATTTAATAAATATTCTAAAATTAAATTTTAAATTTTCTTTTCAAGTTCGAAAAAAAGTAAAAAGAAGGACAAAAAAAGTAAAGAAAAACATTCTTTAAATGGAACACAAAGAGGGGAACCATCAACAGCGGCAATGTCCCCAACAGCTAGTGGTAGACCGATGGTTAGCAAATTGCCATCTTTAAGCCGTGTTGGACAACCAGTTGATTTATTGGTTACGTTATCGAGACCTGATGATTTGGTACAGGCACAAGTTTTTGGTAGGGGGAATTTTATATTTGGATTTAGTAACCCTTCTTTAATATTTAATGATTGATTGTGAAATTAAAATTTATTCTGAAATAATAAAATTTTAAAATAATTAATGGGCTTTTTCTGTCTTTTATCCGCGTATAAATTAATTATACAAAACTATATTTCTAAAAATATTTTTTCCATTATAGATTTGGACAGAGAACCATTAAATATAGAAACATTCCCCGATTATTCTAACAATACTTGCAAATTACAATTTATTCCAAAACGTGTTGGTAAGTATTTTTGAATTTATTTATTAAATACTTAATTTAATTTTAGGAGATCATGAAGTAGAAATTCGGGTTGCTGGAACCGAAATTGATGGTTCTCCTTTTACTTGCCGTGTATATGATCCAACAAGTATGTAAATTGTGATAATTCGCTGTCGGTTATAATTAATTTTTAATTGCCGATTTTTGTTTCGTCTAGCTTACCCGATTGTGAATTGCCCTAAAATCGAGATATTATTTTAAAATATTTTACAGAAATTTTGGTTGGAAATATACCTGATGGTGCTGTTGATAAACCTGTTAGTTTTGTTGTTGATGCAAGTCAAGCAGGTGTTGGGAATTTAGAAGTGGCTGTAAATGAAGGGGTAAAATAATTCGTAATTATTTCTTTTCTAAATTTATTTTTCAGAAAATTCCCTCAATGGCTTATGCTCTAGGACAACATAAATACGAAATTACATTTATACCTAAAGATCCAATAGATCATCGAGTATCTGTTCGATTTAATAATGAAGTAATTAAATTCTTTATTAATTTTCTACTAAATTATTTCTTTAAAGTATGTCCCCGGTTCTCCATTTCTTTGTCGTTTAATTAATACTTCCTCCTCCACCTCCTCTTCTCCCCAACAACAACAATTACCACAAAAACAACTTTCATCCCCAAAATCATCACCACCTCGCCAAATAGGTGCATCTGGTGCAGGTTTAGAACGTATTCCTGTTGGACAACCAACAGAATTTTTTGTTGATGGGCAGTCTTTAATTGAAGGAATACAAACAACAACAACTGATTTATTGCCTAAAGTTCAAATAATTGTAAATTTAAATTGAAAATTAAATTAACAAAATTTTTTTAGGACCCAAGAGGTGAACTTTTACCTGTAGATATAGCTGCTTATGAAGAAGAACCTAGTCGTTCTATTATTCGTTACACACCAAAAAGTGTTGGAAATCATCAAGTAAAGACAAAAAATATTTAAATAAAAATAAATATTTCATAGATTTTTGTTAAATTAAATAATCAACCAATTCCTGGTTCTCCTTTCATAGCAAAAGCTTTCGATGCAAGTTGTGTTAAATTAGCTTTGGAAAGTGAAGGAGGACAGGTAAAAATTAATTAATTTTAATTAAAAAATTTCTAAAAAAAGGTTGGGCGTTCTTGTGCTTTTACAATAGATGCAGCTAAGGCTGGGGCTGGTAATATGGAAATTATTGTGAGTGTGGAAAAGAGGAATGTTCCAAATTATGTACAACCAGAAGGGCAAGCTAAATTTAGAGTTACTTTTACTCCTCAAGAAGCTCTTGAACATTTAATTAGTGTGAAGTTTAATGGAATTTCTGTTCCTGGTAATTACTTAAATTTAATTTTAAATTTAGATTCTTTAGGAAGCCCTCTTTCTTGTCCAATCCAACCATCTTCTGTCCAACGTTCTCCTCGACCTGTTAGAGCAGGTTCTGAATTACCTATTCAACAACAATTAGAGGAACAACAACAATTACTTGTTGTTCCACAACAGCCAACATCTGTTGAGACAAGGGGTGAGGAGGAAGAAGAAGAAAAAGAAATTAAACTTGTTGGAGATTTGGCTAGGTAATGAGTGGATGGATTGTTTGAAAATTAAAAAAGAAAAATTTTTTAGTGCAATTGTTGATGAACCTAAACGATTTAGTATTGATGCCCCGCCAGGAATTGGTAGAAAAGTGGAATGTAATGTTATTGTTGTTGGTGGGTTTTTTAATTTAAATTTTTTTAATAATTAATTTTTATAACAAAAATATTTTATTTTAACATTTTTTAACCCAAAAAAATATTTCCAAACTTTTCTTAACCTAACTTTCCTCCTTCTTAAAATTTCTTATACAAAATTTTCTATCATTTATTTTAATATCTAAATAATAATATTTTCTTCTTATTAATCAAAAATCTCAATTAAATACTTAGTAAATTTAATATAATCTATTCCTCATTTAATTAAAAACAACCCCATTTTTGGTTAAATTAGTTTTTAGTAAATCCTGTTCAGTTAACTTTTTTCTTAATTTACAAAATTCCGCCTGCTTTTTATTTTTTAATACTTCCAAGTTTTATATTTATTTTAATGCTTCAATAATTTTTCTTCGTTGCTTTTCCCTTCTATTTTGTTCTACGCATTTTTCTTAACGCTTGCAAATATTTTAAAAATTAAAAAAAATTTATTTTTTGCTTTTTGTTTGTCAAAATATTTTGCTGTGCATAAATGCATGCATTTTCTTTTTTTGATTTTCTGCTACAGGACCGCACAAACGACGTATTCCGGTGGATAAACAACGTGTAGATGGTGGAAGTTTTGATATTACTTTTACGCCGACCCAAATTGGTTAGTTAAAAATTGATGAGAATTTTTGAAAAAAAATAATTTGTAAATTATTTTAATGTCTTTTAATAAAATAATAATTTTTTAGTAAAAGATTTCAAAAAAATATTTTAAATGTCTTCTTAATAATTTTAACAAAAATTTCAGGAAATTATCACATCGATATCCAAATTAACGGCAAATCCTTAGCTATATGTCCAATTCTTTGTAAATGTCTTGATTCAAGAAAAATGCCAAAAATAACTAATGGAGAAGGGGAACCTTTGCAGAAAGGAAATAAATGGAATGGACCTTTTTGTGGAAAAGATTTTATGTTTGAAGGTGTTTAATTAAAAATTAATTTTTTAATCAGAATTATTTTTCTTTTAGTTAAATTGCCAAAAAGAACAAAAAAAGACCAGCTTATAACAGAAATGTTCGCCTTCCCTTTAATTCAACAACAACACAAACAACAACAAAAAATAAATATTCCAGTTAATTTAGATATGCATCCAAATGGGGAAAGTGCTCTATGTTCGTTTAGAGCATTGCCTAAGCCACACAATTATTTGGTAAAATTAATTTTAGATTTATGAATATTTTAAATTTTATTAGAATTTAGAAAATTCTTAGAAATTTTTAGACATATGTATAATTCTCTTTATTCTAATTAGCCCTACTCTAAGTAATTTAATTTTATTTCAATTTATTTTTTAATTCAAAAATTATTTTAAACATTTCAATAGTCTGTCTTACTCTAATCTTTTCTAAAATAAAATTTAAATATTAAATAATTTAAATTATTTATAACCCGATTAAATTATTTAAAATTTAATTTAATTTAGTTTACACTTTACCGAGATGCCTGTATACTAGACGAACGTTCATTTGACGCTATTCCAGAATCTACTAATGACGAACCAATTAAACTTGTTGAATTTATCCAGCCTGTTTTGGTTGAACATTCTGCACGTTTTTTGTTAGCCAAAACTGGGAAGAATATTAAATTATTGGATGAGGAGGGATTGCCTGAATTACAAATTTTTGGTGAATACATGTTAAATTCGAAAATTAATTTAAATTAAAAAAAAGATATTCTTGGCAATGAATTACCAGTACATATTAGAATAATTGATGGAAATACAGTCCGGGCAGATTGGCAGCCACAAACAGAAGGAAAACACCAATTATTTATTCGAGATCGTTTTGGGAATAATTTATGTGGATCCCCTCTAATTATTAATGTACTTGACCTTTCTGCTGTCAGAGTTATTGGATTGAGAAATGGGGATGTTGTTGGGGTTGAACAGAAATTTACTCGTAAATTAATTTAATTTTTTTGATATTTTTGTTAATTTTTGTTTTTAGTTGATTGGTCTAATTCGGGTGGACAAAGTGCTTCTGTCTCTATTTGTCATGTATCTGATAATGAACCGGTAAGTGTTTATATGTTTTTAAATTCCTGATTTTTCTCTTTAAACAAATAATTATTTTTATTTATTTTTCTTTTAAAAATTCTTTTATTGTTTAATTATTGTAATGTCCTACTTCTCATCTTTTTTTAAACTAATTTAAGTAATTAGCTATAGAGAGGAGGATATTTACATTTATTTCTGCGCAATACTTGAGTGGCGCTATACTTGAAATAAAAATAATATTTTTTTTTATTTTTAAAACTATTAAATATTTTTTGAGTATTTTTTTGCTTTTATGGAAGTATACTCTCCCTCCCCTTTATTACAAAATTTTTTTCAAATTTTTCCTCTTTAGGTTAAAAGTCTAATGATGAAGAGAGTTAAGAAAGGTATTCATTCAATTGCTTTCACACCTCGATTACCCGGATTACATTTAATTGTAAGTTTAAAATTTTATATTTTATTTTAAAATATATATTTAGACAGCAAAAATTGATGGTGTTGAATTACCTGGTAATTATTTTTGAATTTATTTTTAAATTTGTTTAAATTTAAAAAGAATGTCCATATGAATGTATAATTAGTGATCGAGGTTCTCCACGTGCTCGGGGTGATGCACTTAACAGAGCCCAAAGAGGGAAGACTGCTCGTTTTGAAGTTAGTCCTGGCACAAGTGGAAGTGGAGCAACAGAATTGGATGTTATAGTAACTAGTTGGGTGAATAAATAAATATTAGTGTTTTTAATTAATTAATATTTTTTTAGTTTTTTTTTTGAAATTCTTTTTTGCTTGCTTTTTAGTTGTTTTTTTGCTTTTTTTAAAAAGTTTTTCTGCTCAATCTTTCTCTCTTTCCCTAATTTTTTTTCAATTAATTGCTTCATCTTTAATAATATTTTTTACCTATACTTTCTTAATTTTCTACCCAAAAATAACATTTTATACCAAATTAACTATTAGTATAATTTTTTTAAAAATATTTTTAAATTTAATTTAGATTTTTTTGAATTTACTAACTTATTTTAGTTAATTTAAAAAATAATTTCTAAAAAATAATTAATTTTTTAATTAAGATCCCCAAGGCAGTCCACTACCTGTTCGTTGTTATAAACAACAAGATGATAGTTATTGGGTTGAATTTACTCCAGAAATTTGTGGTAATTAATTGAATTAATTTTTAAATCTCCCATAAGATTTTTTTATTTTATTTTTTAAGGTCCACATCGTATTGAAGTTACCTTTGGTGATGAACCTCTTATTGGTTCACCTTTCCTCTGTGAAGTAATAGACCCAAAACGGGTTTATGTACGTGGTATAGACCGTCCATTTTCTTTAAGGACATTATCTAATTTTATTGGTAAATAAATATTTAAATTGAGAAAATATAATTTCTCTTTTAAAGTTTCTCGAAAAGCAGCAGGAGATGGGGCTTTAAATGTTGAATTAGTTGATTCACAAAATGAGACATTAAAATTAGATAGGGTAAAGGAGTAAATAAATAAATGATTATTTTTAACTATTTTAAAGACTAAAAATTCTGTCGGTGAAGATTCCTTTACTTTCCTCCCAACACGCCTCGGTGTTCATCGTTTATCTGTCCGTTTAGCTGGTTTTGCCATTCCCTCCTCTCCATTCCAAATTGTTGTGGAAGAACAAAAAACTTCCCCTACCGTTTATGGTGCTGCTTTAGATTATTCAATTGAAAGGGCACAGCAAGCTTCAATGATTTTTGATGCAAATAAACAGCCTGGGGGGTTAAAGGTGGCTTTTCTTAATTATTTTTATTGGGGTTCTATTGTAAAGAAAAATAATTTAAAAATTACAAGAATTAAAATATAACAAAATTAAGGGATATTTAATTTCTATGAGGGATTGTAGTAACAAAAAATTCCCCTTTTTTAAAAGGTTGAAGTAAAAAGTCCTAGTGGTGAGAAAGTTCGTTATACAACAAATAGAAGACCCGATGAAACAACAGAAATTGCTTTTAGACCACAAGAAATTGGAATATATGAAGTTAATATTGAATTTAATAATCGTTTAGTTAATGGTTTGTTTCTAAAAATCATTCGAAAAAAATTCTCTAAATTTTTAGGGAGTCCATTTCCAGTAACGGTTGTTGACCCAACAAAAGTTTTAATTATTTCTGATGATAGAAAACAAATTATTAGGCCAGATGGAATGTTACAATTATTTGTTGGTCAAAGAAATGTTATTAATTTGGATTGTAGTGAGGCTGGACCTGGTAATTAAAAAAGGGGAAAAATATTTTTGAAAAAAAATTTTTAAAGCAAAAATCAGAGCTGAAGTTAGGGATGCCGATGGGGAATTATTACCTTTAGAACAACAAACACAAGTACATCCTTTGGATAATGGAAAATTCCAATTATTATTTACTCCTCGCAAATCTGGAAAATATAAAATTTATTTATATTGTTCTGGTTAGAATTTTTAGATAAAAATCTTTTTAATTAAACTTTTAAAGATTTTATCTAAAAATATATTTTTAATAATAAAAATCTTTAATTATTAAAAAATTTATTTTAAAGAATTGGTTGTTCCAAATGCTTACCCAATACTTGCAATTGCTGAACAATCTAATAAAATGCCAACACACGTATCAGAAATGAATGGAGAACGGCAAAGAAGACATAAGGAAGTTGTTGAAGAAGCAGCAGAAAGTGAAATAATTGAAAGAAAAGAATTAATTTTGGGAAATGTAAAAGAATATTTAAAATTAAATAAAAAATTTTTTAAGGTAAAATTAAGAGGTTCTGGTTTAACAACAGCACGTATTAAAGAACCAGCAGAATTTATATTAGATGCTAGCAATTTAAGAAAGGATGCTATGGGTAAATGTACAGCAACATTACTTGGAGATAGGGCTGATATTCCTGTTAAATTGAGTGCTTTGGGAAATCAAGTTTATAAGGTGAATTTTATAGGAATTTCTATAAAATTTAAAATATTTTGTAGGGTGTTTATACTCCATTGGTTGATGGTAAATATCAACTTTCTGTTAAAATTGATGGAACTCATGTTCCTGGATCTCCAAGCATTGTCAGTAAAAAATACCTAAATTTTTTCTTTTAAATATTCTCTTCTTTTTTAGGTTAATGTAAAAGCCCCTGAAATATCTCCAGCTCAATTAATTGAAGTAGATGGACGTCCTTTAAAAATGGGAATTTTAGGGGAAGATATGCAAACATTAATAGATGCTAGGAGAGCTGGACCAGGTCAAATATCTGCACAGTGTTCGGGTACAAGTCAATTAGAATATTGTGAACTTTTGGATAATGGAGATGGAACTGTGAGGAAAAATTTAAAAAATATTTAGAAAAAATTAATTTATTTAAAGTATATGTTGCGTATACAACCAAAAGAATTAGGCAAACATACACTTTCTGTTAAATATGAAAATGAGCATGTGCGAGATAGTCCATTCACATTCAATGTGAACCATCCACCAGACCCTTCAAAAGGCAATTTTAACAATATTTTTGAAATTTTTTCTAATTCTCTAAAATTTAGTTAAAGTTTACGGCCCGGGTATTGAACATGGAATCCTCCACAGTTTCAAATCTAATTTTGTTGTTGAAACGAAAGGAGCCGGTGCCGGCCAATTAACTGTTAGAGTTCGTGGCCCTAAAGGGGCATTTAATGTAGAAATGCAAAGGGATAGAGAACAGGAAAGAACAATTCATTGCAAGTATGTTATGTTATCTGATATTAAAAATAATTATTTAAAAAAAGATATGAACCTCGAGAGCCAGGTGATTACCAAGTTGAGGTTAAATGGCATGGACAGCATGTTCCTGGTATTTAATTATTTTTTGAAATTTTTTTGAATTTTTTTTTGAAAATTTTTTTAAAGGTTCTCCATTTTTTGTATTAATTGTTGATACAGAACAAGAATTACATCGTTTTCTGGCGGTAAATGTTTTTATTTATTAACAAATATTTTTACATTTTTAAATAAATTTAGGGAGGAATTCCATCTCCAACACCAACTTCTCCATTTGTTCCGCCTGGTTGGCTTCCTCCTGGACCTCCAGGTTTAATGCCAGGTCCACATCCTGGAGCACCTCCATTGCCTATTATGCCATCTCCTATTCCACCTGTGTGTGTTTTTTTGCACAAAATAAATTTTTTATATAAAATTATTAAATGTTTTAAGCTAGTATAAGTTTATAATTAATTTAAAAAATAATATTATTCCACCTAATTAACAATGTTTATAGATATTAACTTTAAATAGTAGTAGATGTTTCTTAAATAATTTTATTTTTTCTAATTTCAGCCTCACTTCATGAAAGGCAGTAGATTATCACCAGGCGGGCCAATGCCACCGCCCCCACCACCTCATGCTATTTTCCAACAACATCCTGCTGCTAGAGGTTTTGGCGGCCCTCCACCACCACAACATCCCCATCAGCCAATTTATGGAAAACCACATTTTTAAAAATAAAAAAAGTGTTGATTTGAAAAGGAGAATTAAATATACTAATTAAAAAATGTAGAAGATTTTCTGAAATTTCTTTTAAATCAACACTTTTTTCTTGTTATTTGTTTTTTTACCTGCCCTTTTTGTCTTTTTCTTTTTTCCTTTATTTGTCAATTTTATTTTAAAAAAATAATTTAAAAATATTCTAATTTAAATATTCGAAAATGCCACAATTATATTTTCACTTTGCTTTCTTCTTCACTTAAAATATACCTAAAATAATAATTTTTTCATTTCAAAAAGAAGCAAATTTTGAAAAAAAATATTTTTATTTAAATATTTAAACTTGATTTTCTAGTTAATTTGCTTTTTTTATTTTCTCTTTTTTATTTTTTATTTTCTAAAATTAAAAAAAAATTAAAAACGGATTAGAAAAATATTGAAGTTAAATTTATTCTTAAAATTTTAGCAAAAGTTATCGTTAAATAAATATATTTTTAAAAACAATAGTAATTACATACTAATTAATATTCGAGTTATCAGAGTAAAAGTTTTAAAAATACTTTAAAATAAATTTAAAAAAATATTTAAACTATATATTTTCTTTTCCGTTTTTTTAATTTTTAAGTATTTTGTCTTTATATATCCCAAGGCAATATATTTGAATTTTCATTAGTTTAAGAATTTTCTTTGATTGCTGTAATCTTTCCTTGTTTTAGGTTACTATCCAAAATTCATAACAACAGACTAGATGGTTATTCCAGAAAGACCTTTAAGGCAAGAATTGTTTTAACCCTAAATTTAAAAAATAATACATATCGACTAAAATCCATACACTGCCGTGGGATGTATGTCCTTCACTAAAATTAAAATATTTTTGTTAAAACAGAATAAATATTATATTTAAATTTTTTTTTGTTTTTCACTTGCCAAAAAATATTTTTACAAAAACAGAAACTGACGGAAATCAACTAAATTTAAAAAAAAAGAAATAAAAACTTAAAAAACAAAAAAAACTTTTTCGAATTTCCCATCGTTGTGGCCGTGGGATACGGCACGTGGCGAGCAAAATCAAAACAAAGCCTGCGACAATGTGGCCTGCGACAAAGTGGTCGCGACAATGTGGGCGTGTCCCTTTTTCGATTTGCAGTTCCCTAATCCTGGCCCAATATAAATTTTGCAGAGCAGATTAAAGAGAAAAGTATATGATTGACATGGAGAAGAAAATAATCTCTGACCATTTTCTACGCATAAGGAAAACTCTGAGACTCAAAATAGGAGGGGGGGTGACATATCCATAAAGTACCGAAACATTTCACCTATACTTCTTTTTAACTTTTTGTGATTTTTCATCATTAAAATTTTTCATTTTTCTCCAATGTTTTAGAAAAGTATTTTTGTATCTTAATTACTTCTTTATTTAAAAATAAATTGTTTCTACATGGCTATTATTCCGCCTCCTAAAATAATAACATGGCCTTCTGAAGAAATCTTTCTCAACCCACAAACATATAAACATCAAGTTGTAAAGGTAACATTTCTATTTAAATTTCAAACCATTTCAACTTTAAATTTAGAAAAGAAATACTGGCATTAACGAGATATGGTTTTGTATCACTTCAGAATCTTCAATTGTTATTTCTAAACCAAACTGCGATGATAATTGGAAAAAGAGAAATGTTAATTTATGTGACTTGTACAGGATATTTCATTGGGCAGGAACTACAGCAATTTATGATAGAATGGGTGAATGGAAATCAACAAGATAAATCAGATGTTTGTAAAAGTAATTCTTTTCGTCGTATTAAAACACTTTTACTCCACTTTAATATTTTTATTTACTACTTGAATGCGCCGTTTGATGCTCAACAAACGTCTTACTCTAGGGTATAATTTTAGTTTTTTAAAAATTCCTTGAAAATGATGTTCTTTAAAAAAAAAGAATCGTTTAAACATTTAACACAAGTTCTGAAAATTTTCTTATGCTTTCTTGTTTTAAAAAATTTATGAATTAAATTTCTCAACACCTCTCGTTTTATTAGAATTTTTAAAATTTTATTTTTACAATTAAGATTAGAAATAATAGCAAAAAGAGAGTTGTGATAGAAGTTACAACAAATAATTTAAAAATTAAAGTCAGTCCTCAATATGGTATTATTCGGCCAGGCTTATTTATGAATATTACAGTGATCGCTGAACCTATTTTGAATTTTTTGAAAGACGACCATATAATCATTAAAGTTTTTAATGCGCCAAAAAATGCTATGAGTGAAGTCAATATTAATTGGTTGGAAAATGCTCACTGTTATAGCATTCGAAATCTCCCTATTAATTACAATAGGTTTTTTTAAATATTTTTAAACCATAGGCAGTGCAGATGCAACAATTCCGTACGACAATTCCGGATTTTACAATTGCGGATTAAAATTTTTCTAAAAATTTTAAAAATTATTGAAAAAAATTCCATTTTCTAGTCTCGATTGTCAGTTTCCGACTTTTGACAAGTTCTAAATCATTTTTCAACCGATTTGGCACTGAAAACTTTAAAAATCCTAAATTATCTTAAAATTTTATATCCGGAATTGTCGCATCCGCAGTTGTCGTCCGCATTGTCGCATCTGCACGTGCGTATCCGCAATTGTCGTAACACCAAAAAATTGAATCCTAATTAGTAAAATTATTTTTTTATAAATACGGAAGAATAGAACCTATGGTTTAAAAATATTTTAAAAAACCTATTGTAATTAATAGGGAGATTTCGGATGCTATAACAGCGAGCATTTTCCAACCAATTAATGTTGACTTCACTCATAGCATTTTTTGGCGCATTAAAAACTTTAATGATTATATGGTCGTCTTTCAAAAAATTCAAAATAGGTTCAGCGATCACTGTAATATTCATAAATAAGCCTGGCCGAATAATACCATATTGAGGACTGACTTTAATTTTTAAATTATTTGTTGTAACTTCTATCACAACTCTCTTTTTGCTATTATTTCTAATCTTAATTGTAAAAATAAAATTTTAAAAATTCTAATAAAACGAGAGGTGTTGAGAAATTTAATTCATAAATTTTTTAAAACAAGAAAGCATCAGAAAATTTTCAGAACTTGTGTTAAATGTTTAAACGATTCTTTGGCAAAAAGAACATCGTTTTTAAGAAATTAAAAAAAAACTAAAAATTATACCCTAGAGTAAGACGTTTGTTGAGCATTGATGGTTGATCTCGATGCATTGTTATAAAATTGTATTGTGCCTTAATTTTTTGAATATAAAATCTCAATTATCTTTCACTTTTTTTGAATTTTGTTTGAAAACATTTTATTTATTTAAAAGCTTATCTTTTTTCAATTATATGTAGATAAGTTAAATTATAATTAATTTTTTAAATTTAAGCAAAAGTTATTGTTCAGTTAAATATATTTAAAAATCATATTAATCTATTTATCAGAAAAAAATTTTTGAAAATATTTTAAATTAAATATTTATTTTCTCTTCCGTTTTATTAATTTCTCAGCAATTTTATTGCAAATATTCTATTAATTACATATCTCCTTTCCTTATTTTGTTAGAATTAAAAAATAATTTTCTACAAATTTAAATAAATTAATTTTTAAATATTTTGTCCTTATATGTAGATATGTTTTCCCAAGGCATTATATTTTATTTTCATTGGTTTTTATTAGAGTTTACTTTGATTTCGCTAATATTTTTTTGTTTCTGAGTTAGTGCCGTTAAAAATCGTTTACATACAAAATATAAACTAGCAATGCTGAATGGTTTTTCCAAATTCTCTTATTTGTTAGGACAAAAAACCAAAAATTGTAGTAAAACTACATTTAAAAATAGTTAAAATTAACTACAAGCTCATCTAATCCATTCACATCCGTTGGATCCAAATCCTTCACTAAATCGGAATATTTTTGTTAAAACGAATATTTTATTTAACTTTTATTTTTTCTTTTTCATTTACCAAAATTATTTTTACAAAAAAATAATAGTTATCAAAAATATTTTTAATTACTAAATTGTATTTTTATAGATTAAAATTTTTATTTAAAAATAATAATTTTCTAAAATCTTTTTAAAAATAAAATAATTATCAATCATTTCCTCACATATTTATTCATTACCTACCACCCTCAATTTTTCTTGAAATATTTTCTCTCAATTATAAAACAATTAAAACAAAATTAATCTCTCTTTTAAAGCAACAAAATTTCTTTATTTTAAATTATTTTTAAAAAGATTTATATAAAAATATAAGTATTTATTTAATCAAAAAAGAGGAAACAGTTGCCATTCTTCTAAAATATATACATGATATTTAGTCTTTTTATTTTTAACTTTAAAAATGAAAGAAAAGAAATACTAACGAGCATAAAAATGTTTAAGAATTTTATTTATTTTATTCCACCCTCAAATTTAGGAAGGACAAATTTTTTGTTATTTTTGGCTTTTAAATCCATTAAAGCTTTTCTCATTTTTCGAAAACATTTTTTTCTTATTTTTCTTTAAAAGCACTCATTTGGCACGCAAAATTTAAATAAATTAAATGAACCTAACAAAAATATTTTTAAATTGTTAAATTATAAGGTTGGAAATTAATTAGGTATTTATTGTTAGGTGTTTTTGATTCTCCATCAAGTTTTGATTTTTAAAAAATAATTTACATTGTTTCTTTATTTTTAATTCTTAAAATTTGCTACAAATTTTAAACTTTAAAAGAAAAAAAATTTATTAAGTAAAATATTAAATGTCAATCTTTTAGTTATTTTATTTTCCTTCATTTAAAGAGAGGGATTTATTTTATTATTAAGCAATTGGGAATTTTGATTAAAATATCTATTAGCAAAATAAAAATATACTTTATTCTTTTTTTTTAATTTTAAATTATTTATATATAAATATATTTATTTTTTTATTTTCATTAAATACCGCCTGACACCATTTTGCAAAAAAAAAGAAAAAAAGTTCATTTTTTAATGATCATGGCAGGCGTGAACACCTTATGGCTTTTTATTAAATTAGAAATTAATTTACCAAAAAATCAATCTAAATTGTGAAAAAATCTTTTTATTAAACATAAAAAATATTCTTTTTTCATCTAATAATCACCTATAAATTAAATTCCAACAAAAATTTCCTTGGAGACCTTTAAGCCTTTAAGGACTTAAAAAATATAATTAATCTACCTATCTCCTCAAATTTTCTTAATGGACATATCCGTTTCTTAATTTTCATTTTCTCCACAATTTTTATTTATATTTTGAATTTATGGAACAATAAGATAATTAGTTAGTATCCCTATTTATAGTGATACTAAAGAGGTAGTTAGTATCTCTATCAGCGATTCTGCCCACTCTTTCATAAAAATTGTGATGAATTAAACCTGATTAAATTTAAATATTTTTAAAAAATTTTTAGTAAACTAATCTGTTAAACAACAATTAAATATGAGTTAATTTAAATTTTAATTAAAAATTGATGGGTCTCAGTTGCGGGGTATCTCTTTTATAAAATTTTTATTTTTAAATTTAATATTTCTTTTAAAAAGGCACGGGCTCTAAAATTTTGTCTTTTTCTCTTCAATTTAGCTTTTGTGGTTAGTTTAAATTAAAATAAAATACAAATACTAATTCTTATAAAAAATTAAATCCATTTCTTATTAATGAAATTTCGATAGACAAAAAATTGAATTTAAATATCCATTGAATTTTTTATTGAATTATTACTGAGAAGTGTTTGTTATTAATTAAATTTTAGATTTGTGGTTTAGTTTGTGTTATTCTTGGTGTTTGGCTAATATTGGATAGATATGCTGTTGATAATTTGGCTTTAGCTATTTCACATGTTAAGGGTATTCAACATCAAGATGATGGACTTAATGAATTAGTAAATTATTTGAATTAATTTAAAAAATATTTATTTATTATAGGCATCAAAACCTACAGCAGTTCGTCAAATTGGTTATTTATTACTATTTGGCGGAATTGCTGTTATTTTTGTTGCCTCACTTGGTTTTAATAATTAAATCTTTAATTTTTAAAATTAAAAAAGGTTGTTGTGGAGCTGCAAAAGAATGGCGTCCTCTACTTTGTTGTGTAAATTTTTTAAATTAATTTTTAGAAAAAAAAATATTTTTTTAAGTATGCAAGTTGTTTAATGCTAATTTTAGCAATTGAAATTGCTGCTGGAATTTATGCTGCAATGGTTGAAAAATAATTTTGAATTACAAAAAAATTATTTTATTTTAAAGCATTCACATATGTTTGATAAAGATTTTCGTCAAATTCTTCGTGCCTCCCTTAAATTATATAATGGAACAGATACACCAACAACACTCTTAAGTGATGAAAAGACAACAACAATAACAACTAATAGTAGATCATCAACTGATGCAATGCTTGTAAAAACAGCTTGGGATAAATTAATGCAAGAAGTACTTTGAAGAATAATTTTTTAAAATAAATCCTAATATATATTTAAAGAAAGCATGTTGTGGTGTTGATTCGCGTTTGGGAGAATTCAGTCAAAGTGGGTGGTATCGGGTGAATATATTAAATTAATTTAAAAATTATTTTTATTTAAAAGTTGACAAAAGGCCGTTCTGAATTCCCACCCGCATGTTGCCCACCTAAAAGAAACGGCAAATTAGCAGCCAGCTGCCCTACAGTATTCAGATATGGAGAGGTAGTTATAAAACGATTAATAAATTAAATGTTTTTGTTCATTGTGCTTTTTGTATTAGCTTTTTGTTTTTCGTCTTTTATATTTATTTTCTTTTTTATGTTTACCTATAGGGTTGCTACAATCGAATTAAAGAATCAATTCAAGAATTAACTATGCAATTTAAAGTTGTTATGTGGACAGCTATTGTCATTTCTCTTATTCAGGCAATTAAATAATTTGAAAAAAATTAATTAAAGAATTATTTAGATATTTGGAGTAATTGTGGCTTTCTGTCTGTGTAATGCAATTAGTGAGGCTGAATCGTCTTACTGAAACATTTTAATGATCTATAAAAAATATTTAAACATAAACAGGGTTGCCATCTAAAATTTTAATCAACTATTTGAAAAATATTTTTAATTTTTCATAAAAACAAATAAATGTATTCCAAACATAAAATCGATACAATTGTTTTTGGATTTTTTGCCTTGGCAACCCTGTTATTTTTTTAAATTTTGCTTCCTCATTATTTTAATAGTGTTTTGTAATTAAAATAAAAGAAAGTAATAATTTTTTCAAATATATTTAAAAATAGGGCTGTCACAATCCAATTTATTATGAACACTACGTTCGGATTTCCTTTACATTAGCATGTCTTCTGTTCTCAACTATTGTGCAGGTACAAAGGATAATTCTTAACCAATTTAGTTAACATTAAAATTGACTAGAATTGGGGGTTATCTTTTATATTTGGATTACTCAAACCCCAACAAAAATTTTGAGTCGTATTTAATCCTCTGAACTTTATGTGGGTTGTTTGTGGTGGGTGAGTTGTTTTTTCTCAAAGTGGGTTGTTTCTATGATGACCTTATTTCTCAATTAATTACCAGCTCTAGTGAAGGGGTTGCAAAATAATTAAAAAGAATTATTATTTAACAGAATTATTTAATTTTCAGCTCATTTGTTTCACTATCGCTTTAAAATTAAGAGCTATAATTGATGAAGAATTACTTTATTTATATTAAAATATTTTTTAAAAATCCAAAAATATATAATTTAAATTTTGTAAATTCCCTAAAGTCAACAAAAAGTCAAATTTAGAAATTTCTTTTTACCAAAACCATCCTTTTTGAGAATTTTTATTTTGTGGAACATTTTCCTCCAAAACTTCTTTTCTATTTTCTTTTTTCTTCTCCATTTGTTTATTATTCTTTTGTTTTTCTTTTTGAATGACATTTCTAATTTCTGCTTCTTTTGCCTGTTAATATTAAAAATTTGTTTAATTAAAAATTCGAGTTTATCTCTCTTTATGTGCTAATTATGAGATGTACATAAATAAAAATAAGTCCAAAAGTTTTTCATAAATAAATTTAAAAAATTAACCAGCAATTCAATCATTTGTAATTCCAATTCACGCGTATTCCTTCCCGTTTGTTTAAAGGTTTTAATAAGATCCAAAGTTTGTTGTTTTCGCGAATTAACAATAATTAATCTTTGATCAGACTCCCACAATTCATCAACGTCACGCTCTTCCCTTAAAAAGAAATTTTATTTTATAGTAATAAAAAAATTAACCTAAAATATCCATAAACTATTAAAGGAATTATTCCACTCAAAATAAAGAATCTTCTGATGCGTAAAAACCTTCAATTTAAAAAAATTTAAAAAATTATTTTTTGTATTTTGAGAAACCTTTGACTATCATAATAGCTGGGAATATAGGCAGGAATAAGTAAAGAAGGATCATAAGACCTGTCCCGACCAAAATATGCTGGTGACTGGCTGAATGGTGGAGTAGAAGATGTTTGTCTAAAAATTAAAAAAAAAGAAAAACAAAATTTTATTTAAAAATTTACTTGTAAAAATTTGTTGGACCACCCTTTGAACTTGTTGGAGTTGAAACATTTCGACAATTCAATCCTCTAAAGACAAGGGGATTTAATAATTTAAGTTCTGCGAACATCTATTTGTAAAATCTTAAATTAAAATATTTAAAATTTAAAAAATTTTTTGATATAAAATGATTAAAAACAAAAAGAAAAATAAACTAAAATCGAGATACTTTTTTAATAAAATAAAAAATAATTAACAAAAACAAATGCCCCAAAAACCCATTTAACTCTATTATTTTAATTTTGTTTGGGGCATAAATATTTGAAAAACAAAAAAGTAAAACAATCCCTTTTAATTTTCATCCATTTTCTCTGTGTTGTCTTCAACAGCTTCTTTAAATCTTTTGAAGCCTTTCTTTTTTGACCAAAATGCAAGAAGTGTAATTCTTAAAAGAGAAATTATTTTACTTTTAATTTAAAAATAAACAAAACCTAAATTCAACCAAACGACGTCCAAAATGCCGCAAAATTTTTGTTTGATCAGAAGAAAGTTTATCTCCTTCTTTGCATACAACAAAACGTTCCAACAATTCAATTTTTCCTAAAAAAGTAAAAATAAAATTTCTAAAAAAATAAAACCATTATTTAAATGTGTTTGAAGGCCTAATTTTCGTAGTTGTGGTTCAAAAGAGCCTGTTACCCATTTTTTATGTTCTTCGTCATCTTCACCATCGTCATCAACATGGACTGGACCCGCAGGAATTACAACCTCAAAAGGCGCCAAATCACAGGCACGTGCAAATTCTTCTTCGGAAAATTGGTCGAAGAACCTGAGGAAGTAAAAAAAATGAAATTCAATTAATAATAAAAAATAGTAAAGTCAAAGATTCAGAAAGAGTGTGGGAAGGACTTGGAATCTCACATAAAAATTTTCAACATTTTTTCAGACATTGATAAAAAAAATTAGTGTTTGTTAAACGTATGCAGAGTAAATTTTTAATTCATAAATCTGAAAAATTGAACTTTTCTCGAATTAACTATTCATGTGATAATTTCAGAAAATTTATTGTTATAAATATTTAAAATTATTTACTTGCAAATATTGCTTTTCTTCTCATTTGTAAACATTAAACCACAAGGACCTTTCAACATTTGAGCAACCTGATGTAATCCATTTTCAACTTCTTGTTCAGGCGTTTTACCCAAAGCAACAGCCATAACACCGTTTCTTCCATAAAATACTCGAGAATTTTGTTTAAAATGTTGGCGAATTTTTATAAGAATATTAGAACGTAAATTGGCGGTTGAAAATACAAAAAGATTGTTGTATTTTAAAAGGCATTCACGTACCTAGAATAAGAAGAAATTAAAAAAAATTAATTTTAAAAAATAACCTCATCAATAAGTTTGCCTTTTGTTTCCTTTGTCTTCTTCTTGACTTTAGTTAAAGAAACTAAAAAGAAAAAAATAACATTTTTATTAAATAAACAAAACCGATTTTATCTCTTTTTGACTTGGGCATTCGGATAATCTATTTTATAATAAATTAAAATAATCTAAATTTTATAATTTTAGAAAAAAATATCTTTACAGAAAAAAAACAAGTAAAAAATCTAAAAACAAATTTACAGGCAAAAAAACAAGGTGACAATAAAAAGTAACCAATGTGATATTTCTCTCCTGGTTACCGAATTGAAAAGTAACTAAAATGACAATATTTTGCGTTTTCTGATCAAAAAGCCTAAAAAGGAAAGGACAAAAATATTTTTTAGCGACTAATCCGATTAGAAGTGAGAGTGAGAAAATGAAGAGTGTAGAAACAGGAGAAGACGATGAGAAAATCGATTCGATCTTTTTTATACTAGATAGTTAGTTGAAGTTACCCTGCTTGGGCTTTTTCTTTCGAAAATTTTTCCTAAAATTAATTTTATTTTTTTGATATTTTTCTCATAAATTTCTGATTATATATATAATAGTTTCTATAAAAAATTTTTGTACATTATAGACTTATCAAAAATTAACAAATATTTATTCTATCACTTCTTAAATAATGCCTTCCAAAAAATTGAATAAGGTTATTTTAATAATTCTATCGATACATTTTAAAAATGATTTTTAGTCTCGTGACGTCCACATTGCAACAAATTTAAATAATGATGGAATGATGATCTTACCCACTAATTTTAATGGAACTTTGGCATTTGATACAGTGACTGTATGCTTTCCAGGAGCTATTGGTTTGCGATACAAATGCCCATCATCCGGCTTGTTTCGACAGCTTTTGTATATTTTTAAAATTTTGTAGGCTTTAAGGATCAATATTGGATCAGTTTTGTTGATGCCAAAACTCATTCTTTACTCAAAGTTTTTCCCATCAATTTCGATTGAAAGGTGTCAGTAGTCGGGAAGTAAATATTGAGTAAACTGGATAGGATTAACTGCGGGGAATAGGAACAATTACCTCGTTGCCGTTACCTTACGAGTAACAACCCTAAAATAATTTTTGCGCATTTTTAACTTTCCTTTTTCAGCACCATTAATCTTTTTCTTGTTTCTAGATCCAAGTTCCATTATTCTAGCACCTGAGTTAAGATACAAGATTTTTCACTATCAGATTATATCTATTAAATTTTGTTTTCTGTTATTTTAATTTGTCCGCAAAAAATGTCCGCAAATTTAGATTTATTTATAAAGAAGAGTTTTGGCTTCAACATTTGTAAGCAATTTCATATGGATCATTAAGACAAGTTAAATACCTATATTTTTAATTTAAGAATGGATTCGAATAAAACTTGTTTTTATGAACCAGTTGACGGTTGGGAAGATCAAAGTATTCTTTTGTTTTTTCTAACCAAAATTTATTTTTTTTTTAGTTTTTTATGTTATCTATTATTCTGGTGTACCTATCACAGATACAGAGATAATAAAAGGTTTATATTATACTTTTAATTCTTTCCGGTCTGGGTTATTTTGATAATTTTTGACTCACCTGTGCGCCCATATAAATCTTGCAATCCTTTGTCTCCAGAAAACTTCTGAAGAGAATTATGTAGTTACACACATTGGTTACACCAGATTTTTTTCGCTTTTCCTCATGGGGGGGGGGGAATAATTTTTAAGATAAGAATTTAGGCGAATATTTTTTATATTTTGCTTTTGACTATTCCATTTTATAGAAATTTATGATTTGAAAAAGAAAAATGCAGAAATTGAGAAGAAAAATGCTGAAATGGAGAAGAAACTGGATCTAGCATTGAATTTCAATCTTCAGGTATTATGGAATAAGTTTGTTACTCATTCCAAAGAATTTGTTGAAAAAATCTTCACATTTTTACAAAATATGTGGCGGGTTTTTACGTAATGGGTTAAATAATATAAGGCTTTTTAAAATTTTGGCCATTTTTAAACAAAATTTTCTGTTTAAGAGTTTTTGTAGCTTTTTTGCTTCATTAATTCGATTGTCCATAAATAAAAGGACCAGATCAAAATAAATTAATTTTTGGACTAAAATTTATTAAAAAACTCGATTCTTTTCGAATTTCCATTTTTTCCCTTTTTTATAAAACAAAAGGGTTGGATCTGACCTAAATTTTTCTTTAAGATTTTTAGGAAAAATTTCTTAATACTAAACAGAACGCAAATGGGTCAAACCATATGTCATTCGAAAGAGCTCGTCGAGTTGAGTCGAATGGCGAAAAAAATTTCGTGCGGACTCATACAGGGGCTGAGATATAGTCCCCCAAATATCGAAAAACCATAGGGGGGAGTAAGCTAAATTTTGGGGTGAAAAATTCGAATATGCAAATAATAGCTCATTCGAAAGAGCTCCTCGAGCTGAGTCGAATGACACCAAAATCAGCTTGATCGTAAAAGGTTTGACAAAGTTACAATATAAAAACAAACAACATAAACCTATGGAGAGTCGGCGAGGCGCTTGTGCAAAACCCAGCGCTTCGCGCTTGGCTTTGCGGCACGCGCCTCGCGGGGAGTCTACGGGCGCTGGGTCTGGGCTCGTAACATAAACCTATTCCTATCTCCCTTGCTCTGGACGCATTTGGGGCCTCCGTAGCAGCAAAAATCTCCACAGATGCCATAGGTAAGGAGCTAAAATAAAAGATCATAACTTTGTCCAATCAAGTCGAATTTCGTTGATTTTGATGTCATTCGACTCAGCTCGAGAAGCTCTTTCGAATGAGCTATTATTTGCATATTCGAATTTTTCACCCCAAAATTTAGCTTACTCCCCCCTATGGTTTTTCGATATTTGGGGGACTATATCTCAGCCCCTGTATGAGTCCGCACGAAATTTTTTTCGCCATTCGACTCAACTCGACGAGCTCTTTCGAATGACATATGGTTTGACCCATTTGCTTTCTGTTTAGTATTCCGAAATTTACCGATTTTTATTACAAATAATAAATTTAACAACAAATTTTGTGTTTTTCTTTTTTAATTTTGTATTTTCGATTAAAACTTTTTTATAATTTTCATATCTTTCGGATTATGCAAAACAAATTTTTCGTATCTGATTGCTTTTGTATCAATCGTGGCTCTAGTTCTGACATTTGTGACGGTCGTTTTGGCACTTATTTTTAAGTAGTGATTTGAAATTATTGTAACAAAAAGGGTCTATTTTCCGTATCAAAAAATATTCAAAAAACAGCCAATTTTCTTTCAAAAAAATTTCTTTTTCGATTGGAGTCTAATTTAAGTCTTTTAAATAGACCTAACTAATTTATTAACTTATTCGTATGCTCAAAAAATTACTTATACTAATTTATATTCACTTAAGTCTTTCCACTAAAAATGTAAATTTAAATTTTTAATCCTATGCATAATCTCTTTTTGGGTTGGAAAATTTGTTAACCAAAAATTTTTGCCTTTTTCAACAATTATTTGTTTACACTCTGTTTCAAAATTATAGAGCCACTAAATTTTTTGTAATAACTCGATGAAAATCGATTGAATTTTTTTGAAATTTTGTCATAATGTTTAAATAAACAATACATATCTATCTACAAAAAATAAATCACATCCAGTGTCTACAAAAAATTTTATTCCAAAAAATTCAATCTATATGTGTTTCATAATTATAGAGCCACTTTGAAATATCGAGTTTCTAACAATAAGAAAAATCTACAAAAATTTGAGCTAACACATTTATCGATTTTAAGAAAAAATAAAAAAGAATCAGACCCATATCTCTCTTCAGTGTCGAAATCCAGATGCCTCGAAAATCAAAGTAAATCAGGGGTAAGGCTATTCAAAAAATATTTTCGACCCCTTATGGTTTGTTTTAAATTTTTAACTTGGGCTCATTCGAAGGCCCGTAAATTTTGTTACAAGATAGTAATACTCATATATCTCAGAAAAAATTCAAAAGGGATATACAGGACGTTAATCTTCCTGGGATAACTTTATGGGGTATTTGGGCGTTTTTGTGCCTTAGAAATTTAAAACTTAATAACTTACTGAAATTTCTAGTAAATAAGACGTACATATGCTATCTTGTAGCAAATTTTACGGGCCTTCGAATGAGCCCAAATTAAAAATTTAAAACAAACCATAAGGGGTCGAAAATATTTTTTAAATAGCCTTACCCCCGATTTACGTTGATTTTCGAGGCATCTGGATCTCGACACTGAAGAGAGATATGGGTCTGATTCTTTTTATTTTTTCTTAAAATCGATAGTTATGTTAGCTCAAATTTTTGTAGATTTTTCTTATTGTTAGAAACTCGATATTTCAAAGTGGCTCTATAATTATGAAACACATATAGATTGAATTTTTTGGAATAAAATTTTTTGTAGACACTGGATGTGATTTATTTTTTGCAGATAGATATGTATTGTTTATTTAAACATTATGGCAAAATTTCAAAAAAATTCAATCGATTTTCATCTAGTTATTACAAAAAAATTTAGTGGCTTATAATTTTGAAACAGAGTGTATTAGTAACATTTAAAACGATATTTTCAGATTAACGATTTACAAAAATTCTCTTCCTGAAAATAAAATTTAAATTTCTCACAAAAATTTAAAACAAACAAATTGGGGCTTCTTCTTGTGTATTTTCGATTTTCCAACCCAATATTTAAATAAAAGCCTTAACAACTGCCTTTAATTTAATTTTGTATAACTCAATTTTTTAAATAAAAATAATCACTCTTATTTTTATATTTAATTCCAAAGAATGGTAACTTTAGGGTTAATCAAGTGTTATGAAGTGTGAAAAAAACTAAAAAAAAACGCCTCATTTTTAGCTGCTTTTCGACAATTTTTAATTTTTAATTGAGATATTTTTTCCTTTTTTTCAATCTAAAAAATATTCTGTACAAATGAATGGAAGCTTAAAAAGATTGTCGACCATTAATTTTTGTCATCAAAAATTTCAGTTTTTACAATTGCATTTATTGCATCAATTTTTCGTTATTTAATTGAAAATAGGGGTCAACCCTGAAGACCTACACCCCGAAGACCTATTTACCCTGAAGACATACAACTTTTTGATCAACTCGAATTTTTTATCTGTTATTTCTATACATTTTAATCGATGAGGGGTTAAAGGGGAAAAAGAGACTTGTAGGGATTAATGGGATATCGTGTGGATCTAGAGGGATTAAATGGGATTAGGAGGGATTAAAGGATGATATCGGTGGATGCGGATGGAAAAAAGGGGAATATATGTAGATGGATCTGTGGGATATAGATGGATTTTGAGGTTTTAAAGGGGCAGGGTGTAGGTCTTCAAGGCTCCTGAAATCGAAAAACAATAGAGGAGACCAAGCTGTTTTTTGGGGTAAAAAATTCGAATATGCAAATTATTTGAGTCGACTGACCCAAAAACATCTTGATTGGATGCTTATGAACGAAGTTATGACCTATAGGTTAATGATCCTTGCTTTTATTTGGAGTTTTGCGAATAAACAGGCGTATTGCGAATAAATGGGCAGGTCGTTTTGCGAATAAATAACACTTTACTGTGCAATTGCCCTCTTTGCAATTGGATTAGAGATCGGAACGGGTCCGGGACCCGTTTCCCGGTTTTCGGGTCATTTTTCCCGGTTTTTTGGGAGCAACCGGGTTGAAACCGGGAACGGGAATTCCCGGTTTTCCCTGTCCGGGTCCCTCCCGGTCAACTTTCAGAACCCATTTCCCGGACCCGGTCCCGGCCATTTTTATACCGGGAAACCGGAAAAAATATTTAGTGTATAAATCTGAAAAATTCTCAAAATTTTCGCCTGCGGCGCTGGAAAAGTAAGAAATATGGCCCCTTCAAAATTCGCAAAATTTTCGCCTGCGGCAGGAGAATTCTGGCTTCTTTGACTACGGTTACGAGTTGAATTTTTTGTATACGAGTTGAATTTGTGTATAAAGGGTGCTTTTGGAAAAGGAATCGGCCTTCCATCCCATAAACTGTTACAAGTCCACCCTCTCTCTTTTAATCCCCAAATATCCTCTGGTATCCCTCCAATCGCCCAATACACAATATCACTCGTACTCCCTTTTCACCGATATCCTTTAATAGTCTAAAATCCTCTTATATTCCTCGATAACCTCCTCCATATTCACTTAATCCCGTAATATCCCTAAATCCTATAATATCCCTTTAAATACCAGTATATCCCACTTAATCCCACTTAATCTGCTGATATCTGTCCAAATAAAAAATCAAGAATCAAAGCCTGGATCCAGGCAAAAATAATCCTTAACTGAAGATCAAGAAAAATCCTTCTCAAGGTCAAGAATCTGGTCAAGGTACCCAACCGAAATCAAGTTCAAGGTTGTTTGAAAATCTCGCTCTCTACTGACTTTAATAAAGGTTATTTAGAATAAGTAAAGGGGGATAGTTGAAAAATACAGCAACATGTGGAAAAATACAGCCCCATTTCAACAAATTAAGAATTTCTCGTTTTCCCGGCCGGGACCCGGTCATTTTTGACCGGGTTGAAACCGGGAACGGGAATTCCCGGTTTTCCCGGTCCGGGTCCCTCCCGGTCAACCTTCAGAATCCGTTTCCCGGTTCCCGGACCCGGTTTTTTCAAAATTCCGATCTCTAAATTGGATCACTGTGCCCGTGTCGTGCCACCATTAATTTTAATTAAAGTTAAATTAATTTTATTATTAGTAGTTTTTGACTTTCAATTATTTTGCCTATCTTTTAATTATTTATATTGGAACCCAAATATGGTTTATGACGAAGGCGATCAGTTGCGTTCTGATCAAGAAGAACGACGTAGGGAAAAATTTAGCCGTGAGCGTGGTGGTGATTATTTATTGGATAGAGGAAGGCGTAATTTTGGTGGACCTGATCGGTTTGATTTAATTTATTTGTTAGATTTTATTATTTAAAGGCGTGATTACTCGAATGGATTGGGAGGTGTCAAGAAGCGTTCTTTTCGTGACGAAGACACTTATCAGCCCGCTAAACGGAGCAGATTGTATGAATTTTATTTATTTTTATAATTTATTACAAATTTAAGCGAAAGTGCTGTCGATTCATATGAACCACAATTTAATCGTCGAAGTGACGGAAACTTTCCACCCGTTCAAACGGAGGCAGCTTCTGCTCAACCTCCGATGCTTTTGACGTTCCGTAAATTTTTAGATACTCAAGATGATGCTATATTAACTGATGAAGAGGCAATTGCAAAATATAATGAATATAAAACTGAATTTATGCGTCAAGAATGTGAACGTTATTTTCATGCGCATAAGGATGTTGAATGGTTTATTTTTCTTTTTTATTAAGTTTAAATATTTTCAGGTTTCGTCGAAAATATCATCCAGTGGAGAGTAAAGAACGACGTACGGAGCGACGTCAGCATATTCTCAAACGACTTCAGATCTTTAACGAGCTCCTTGATGCTAACAAGATCGATGCTTTGACACTTAGTTACGAACATGCGGAGCAACTTATCCGATTCATGGATATGGGTTTAGTTTATTTTTAGATTATTTTTGTTGAAGTTATTGTTAGAATATTTCCAACATTTATTCTATTATTAAATTTATTTTGATGATTTTTCTATAAATTAAGTTGTTATCAAATTGGAAGATGGCACTGATGCTGACATTGAAGCTGCTGCTAATGAACCTATTAGTGATGAGTCTGTTTTGGATTTGCTTTCTTCTAAACAAGTTACACAACAAAAACAAACTCAGACGGATGATAATGTGGCAGATACTGCTGTTAGTGATGAAGGTTCTTCGCCAACTAAACGTCTGGTCAGAGATGTTATGGATACAGGTTTAGATAAGAGACCAGAGAGATATCCAGGGTTTCGGCCTTTCAAATTTTCGACCTTCAAAAATTTTCACAATTTTCTGTTTCAACGTTAAAATATGTATACCGTATTTACTCAAATAATTCCCCTCTCTCAAATAATTACCCCCTCCCTATTAATTACCCCCTCCAGCGAGAGATCGAAACAATAATTACCCAGGGTAATTATTTGAGTAAATACGGTAGATACTAAAGAGCTTGTGTGCATAACGTCAAAAGTTTAGCACACACCCCGTTATATCTCTATTCAGAAATTCGTGTTGATGATAATGAAAATATTCTCAAATTTTTTTAGTGTTAGATGCCTATGAGGATGCAAATAAAGGCGAAGAAGCGGATGAGGCCGAAGAAGGCGAAAAACCTATGGAGCTTAATCTATTAATTCAACCAACCAAACAAGCACCGTTACCTCATAAGACGTGTAGTATTCATTTCCGTACTGTTCCTGCTACTGTACCATTGGCAGAGATCGAAAATGTATATTATAATTTTTTTAAGTTTTATCTTAAAAGATTTAACTAAAATTAAAAAATTGATTTTTTTCATTTTCAATTACATTTTTCATTTTCAGCTTTGTAAGCAACACCCTGGATTTTTGCGTTTATCACTCTCTGATCCAATGCCTGTTGTTATTGATAGAAGAAGTGGAAAATCGCAACCAATTCGAACCGCTTTAGTTACCTATCGAGAAGATGTGAACATTAAGGAAATTTTTTGGGCATTGAGAAATACTAAAGTAAATGGTTGAATATTTTCTCACTTGATAATGTATTTTAGTTTAATGGTGTTTCATTAAATGCTTCTGTTAATCGTGAGTTTCGTCGTCGGGTTCGAAGCATTGGTGCCACGAGTGGATTATCTTCTCAACGTAATATTGTTCAAAATGATATTCGGTATTTGTTTAACTTTCGTTAAAAATTGTTTTATTTAAATTTACCTATCTTTTTTTTGAATTTTAAATTTATTATTTTTAATGATTTTTAGCCAAGCGGCCAAACTCATTGTGCTTTACGATCTTAAGGAAGGCCTTTATCGAGAAGAAAATGAGTCTTGTGAAGAAGGGGAAGAACAATTACAAAATGAATCACAATCTGCTGATGAAGGTTTTTACGATGTTAAATTTTTACAATTAGCATATGTTTTTAGCACTTCTTTCTGATCTTGAAGGAGCTGTTTTGAAAAGTAGGAATCCTCTCTTAAATGGAATTTCCGATTATCTCGTTGATGTAACTAGTGCTGAAGAGGATGCACTTGTTGAGAATGTTGCTCAAGTTCATGGTACTGAATTGATGGAGGAAATGGAAAAGGATAATAAAATGATTAAGGTATTATTTATTTGTTTTTTTAATCTTATGGAAGGGATTTTTAACCAGAAATTCAGTTTGATCATTTTTAGGTGCTCGATCGTTTACTTCTTTATTTGCGAATTGTGCATTCAATTGATTTTTATGCTACTATCGAGTATTCAAATGAAGATGAAATGCCACACCGGTTATTTTATTTTTAAAATATTTGAATGAATATTTAAGTCTTGCTTTAATTCATGTTCGTGGACGTCCTCTGGACAATATTACAACGACAACTACCACTACTCGAGTTCCTCAATTGCCAAAAACGGTTATTAGTGGACATATTGCTACCTTTAATGCTCTCCTTGATCAAGGACTTTTTAAGAGAGCTTTATTACCTGAGGAAGAATTGCAAAAGCTTGGAAAGAAAGATGCTGAAAAGTAACAAACAACTAATTTAATATAATTTTTAATTATAAATTTTTAAGAGCGGTTCAGGATTTTCTTGACAAGAACACTGTTGAACAAGCTCCAGGCAAGTATCTCTGCCCTCTTTCTGGAAAGCGTTTCAGAGCTGTTGAATTTGTTCATAAACATTTGCATTCTAAACATCAAGAAGAAATTGATGCTGCTAGACATGAAGTATAGAATATTTTTTTGATTTTTTTTTAATTAAAAAATTTTCAGGCTCTCTATTTTAACAATTATTTGTGTGATCCAAATCGTCCACATAATCAAATTTTCGTCAAAATTACTAATACTGCATCTGCAGTTGAGCGTGAAATTCGTCGTTCTTCTGCCTCACCGCCGCCAAACCGAAACACTCAAAATTCAACTTTGGAAGAAGGGGCAGGTGGAGGGAGAGATTCTGAAAGGCCTGGTAATCCTTTTGAACTTTATTTAAATAAAACAAACTTTTAAGTGCCTCGTAGTACATGGCAACCATTGGACCGTTTTAATAGTAGTGGTGGAGGGAATAATAGGTAAAGTTATTTTAAAATTTTATTTTTACTTTTTTTTATTAAAAAGATTTAATGGAGGAGGAGGACAGGGTCAACGTTCTTTTGGTGGTGGGATTAATTCAGGAGGTTCAACACGTCAACGCTTTTCTTATGAACCAGTTAACGAAGTGAGTGGTGCTGCAAGTGGTGGGTTTGGGGGAGGACGTTCTAGAGTTGACCCGAGGGCTCCACCTTCTTATAGGGATTTGGATGCTCCAACTGAGGATATTATTTGAAAATAAATAATTTTTGGTCGTTTTATTTTTGTTTTGATTTTCTTTTATTTCTGTGTTTATTTTTATTTTCGCTATTTTTTGGAATAATTTTTATTGAATTAAGGGGGATTATTATATAAAATGTTTTAAAAAATATTTAAAATCTACATTTATAAGGATAAACACAAAGATATTGGAGCTTTTTATGAGTAAAATTATTGCGTGCGAAATCTTATATTTTGTTATTCAATTTTAATTGCTTTTCATTTTTTGTTAACTCTAACAATAAGTCAATATTTTAAAAACTTAATTAAGTGCTCGATAATATTTTTATTGACTTTTGTTAGTTAATGGATAGTTTTTTTCCTTTTGACCAATATATAAATTGCTTCAATCCAATAAAAATGAATAAACTTTACAAATTGGCTGTTAAATATATATGTTGTTTATTCTTCACGTGATTATTTTTTTAAATTTGTATTTGTTAAACATATTTTTGTAATGAATAAATTACATAATGTATATTTAAAAATACTATGTATAGCAAAAAAAGAGAACATACATAAATAAACAACAACAGTTGTTAATTTTTGTAAAAGAGGAAATGGGAAAAAATAATTTATTTTTCATTTCGCTATAGCGACCATTAATTATTAAATAAGAAACAAAATAATCCTTTTCATTTCTTTACTTTATAAAAATATATTAAATAAACCGCCACGCATGTATTAAATCAAAAAAAAATTTATTTTTAGTTAAAATATTTCACGTATTTTTTAAAATTCTCTAAATTTGTTTGTTCTTTTTAATTATTTCCTTTTGACCGTATTTCTAATTCATTTTTGTTATTTTATTTTCTAAAATTCCTCCATTAATTTTATAAAAATTTCTTTTTTAAAGTAAATTAGTTAAAATTAATTTACAAATTTTTTGAAAATTGTCAAATATTTAAGAATTTATTTTTTATTGTTTAATTAAAAAAGGGAATCAATAAAATTCTGAAGATAAAGAACAAATTAATATTAAAAACAAAGTAATAAATTGTTTAACAGATAATTTTTTGATTGTTTTTTGGGGGGAGTTCTCCTTAAATTTAATTACTCTTCTTAATTGATTTTATTTAATTTTAAAATTAATTTAGATAATTTGCAGTTGACTATTATTTTTTATTTAATTATTTTTAATTTTGGAGAATGGCTTCACGTGACTATGTTGGAGAGGATGTTTGCAGTTTGGTAATGTAAAAATTAGTAAAATTAAAATTTTTGTTTTCTAGATTGGAAATACTCCTATGGTTTATCTAAACAGATTGCCAAATCCTAATGGTGCACGTGTAGGTGAGAAAAGTTAAATTTTAAATCTGGAGTCAAATTAGTGATAGGTGCTTAAAAAATCATTTTCGCTTCTTTTTAAGCTGTCAAAATTGAGTGGATGAATCCAGCTTGTAGCGTTAAAGACCGAATTGCTCATGCAATGGTTATTACTGCTGAGCGTGAAGGGAAGATTAAGCCTGGAAAGACGACTTTAATTGAGCCAACTAGTGGAAATACTGGAATTGGTTTATTAAAAAAGTTTTTTTTGAAATTTTATTTTTAATTTATAGCACTTGCGATGGTAGCTGCTGCTCGTGGTTATCGTCTTATTTGTGTAATGCCTTCGACTATGAGTGGAGAACGAGTTTTTTATATCAAGATTTTTTATTTTAATAATTTATTTTTAGCGTACTCTTATTCGGGCTTTTGGCGCTGAGATGGTTTTAACTGACCCTGTTCTTGGAATTAAAGGAACTATTGATAAGGCTAATGAACTTGCTAAAATTATTCCAAATTCGTTTATGCCTCTTCAAGTTTTTTTGGAAATTAATTTTTTTAAAAACTTTTTTAGTTTGACAATCCTGTTAATCCACAAATTCATTATTCTACTACCGGAGCTGAAATTTTTCGCCAAACTGGTGGTCGAATAGATGCTTGTGTTTTTGGTATTGGAACTGGTGGAACGGTTTGAAATTTGCCAAAAGCCTTTTTAATTTATTTAGATGACTGGGGCTGGTCGTTATCTCCGAGAGAGGAAGCCTGATATTCAAGTTAGTTTTTCTGATTTTTTGGGTAAAAAATATATTTTTAGCTCTACGCTGTTGAGCCAACCGAAAGTGCTGTTTTGAGTGGTGGACAGCCTGGTCCACACAAAATTCAGGGTTTTCTTCAACAAAATATTTTTAATTAAGAAATTACTCAGGGATGGGTGCCGGCATAGTTCCTGCCGTTTTGGACACCAAACTTTATAATGGAGTTATTACCGTTTCTTCTGACGAGGCTATTGCTATGGCAAAGCGTGCAGCACTTGAAGAGGGTCTTCTTTGTGGTACTTTTTCATAAATGGATTAATTGAAAGTAACAAAAATATTTTTAGGTATTTCTAGTGGGGCTAATTTGGTTGCGGCACTTCGTGTTGCTGAGAGGCCAGAATTGAAAGGAAGGCTTGTTGTTACTGTACTTCCAAGTTTTGGTGAACGTTATTTGTGAGTTTAAAATTTAAGGAATTTCTAAAGGGAAAATTTAATATGGAATTTGTCAGAAAGTGTTCAAAAGAAACTAAAATTCACTGAAATTAAAACGAACTCTCAGAACATTTTTTTAATTTACGTAGAAATATTTCCTTAAGAATATTTTCAGGACAACTACTCTTTACTCTGACATTCGTGAGGCTACTGCTGCTTTGACTCATACTGAGACTTTAGAGGAGAGTGTTAATCGCATCAATGCCAATCCTCGCTGGGCGAACTCTCATTAAGTTTTGAGAAAAGTAAAGAAGATTAAATAAAAAGTATTGATATTTATATAAACGTTTACGTTATTTTTATTATTTTTCAGAAACATAGTAGTTTCTATAATTTTAAATTTTCATTTTCTAAATAATTTTACTTAATTTGTTGTTTTTGTTTAAATCAAAAGTTGTTAGCAAAAAAGAGAATTTTTATTGAGATTTCTTTAAGAGAAAAGTTCTTTTTGTTGACAACTTCTAAAAGACATTTTTAGCATAAAAATAAATTGAGATTTGGATTGTAGTTTATTTAAAATGGACAATGGACTGTAAAGTCTAATTATATCGCCCTCCTTAAACCCAACTTGAAAAAATATTAGAAACCCTTAATAACACGATAATTTATTAGAATACATACCTATATACAAAATTAATAAGAAAAAATGATAACTTCGGAATACTAAACAGAAAGTAAATGGGTCAAATTATATGTCATTCGAAAGAGCTCGTCGAGTTGAGTCTAGATCTGAAAAAATTTTCGTGCGGACTCCTAAAGGGGCTGAAATACAGGCCCCCGAAAATTGGAAAACCATAGGGGGGACCAAGCACTTTTTTGGGGTGAAAAATCCGAAAATGCAAATTATACCTCATTCGAAAGAGCTCCTCGAGCTGAGTCGAATGACACCAAAATCAACGAAATTCGACTTGATTGGACAAAGTTATGACTGTTTGTTTTGACCCCTCCCATAAGGCCTTCGCGGAAAAAAGTTTTTGCTGCTGCGGAGGAAGCCGGGCATGTCGAGCGGAACGACGGCCGACGCTTCGCTACGGTCGCCGCGAGCGAAGCGAGCACGACTGCAGCGAAGCACGGCCACCGTGTAGCAAAGACCTACCCTCCGTAGCAGCACAAACAGTTTTTTCAGCGAAGATTCAGTTGGTCATAACTTTGTTCAGAATCATTCAATCGAGCTGATTTTGATGTCATTCAATCAACTTGTCGAGCCCTTTCGAATGAGCTATTATTTGTATATTCGAATTTTTTGACCCCAAAAATTTTCAAATTTCGATGGTCTGTAACTCGGCCAAATGAAGTCGGATTTCGATGATTTGTAGCGAAGCGTCGGCCGTCGTTCCGCTCGACATGCCCGGCTTCCTCCGCAGCGGCAAAAACTTTTTTCCGCGAAGGCCTTATGGGAGGGGTCAAAACAAACAGTCATAACTTTGTCAAATCAAATCAGATTTCGTTGATTTTGGTGTCATTCGACTCAGCTCGAGGAGCTCTTTCGAATGAGGTATAATTTGCATTTTCGGATTTTTCACCCCAAAAAAGTGCTTGGTCCCCCTATGGTTTTCCAATTTTCGGGGGCCTGTATCTCAGCCCCTTTAGGAGTCCGCACGAAAATTTTTTCAGATTTAGACTCAACTCGACGAGCTCTTTCGAATGACATATAATTTGACCGATTTGCTTTCTGTTTAGTATTCCGAAACTCGGGGGCCTGTATCTCGGGGGCCTGTATCTCAGCCCCTTTAGGAGTCTTTCGAATGAGGTATAATTTGCATTTTCGGATTTTTCACCCCAAAAAAGTGCTTGGTCCCCCTATGGTTTTCCAATTTTCGGGGGCCTGTATCTCAGCCCCTTTAGGAGTCCGCACGAAAATTTTTTCAGATTTAGACTCAACTCGACGAGCTCTTTCGAATGACATATAATTTGACCGATTTGCTTTCTGTTTAGTATTCCGAAATTTTTCCGTTTGGAATAAAAAACATCTTTAATTTAATTAACAAATCTCTTCAATCATCGCTAACACTGTTCGATAAGGCATTATTTTGTTCAAAATGTGGCACAGCCTTTAAGATAATTAATTTATAGAACTCGCCATCAGATCCTTGAGGAATAATTGAATTGGGAGTTTGAGTTTCATTAGGTTGCGTCGTTGCAAAGCATACACACAATTTAGTGTTTCCAGGCCTACCATTCTAAAAATAAATAATCTTTTTTTAATATTAATCTATCAATACCAAACGAAGAATTCCAATAATTTTTGTTGAGGTCGGATTTACAAATCCGTAGTTTTCACTAACTTTATAATAAGCTGTATTTGAAATTTTTATTTTGAACGCAAATCTCTGAAAAAAAATTAAGGAATATAATGCTTAAAAAAGAGCCAAACCGTCTCTCCCTCATTCCTTATTGAAATATAAAAATGGTCCCCCTCTGACAAACAGCGCGCAATAGTTGGAGAGATAGAGAGGCTTTCCATTAAGAAATCAAGAGTGTCTTACTTAAAATATATTGTATATACAAAAAATGATGAATGGACTAACTGGAATGTGAAAGCTTTTATAATAAGATTTAAGGGTAAACTTGTTTCTTCCATTTCCGGCGGAATATTGCTTGCTGGTGTTTACTTTCGATTAGGTAATATTATTTTTCGTTTTAATTAATTTATCAATCTTTTTAAAACAATTATTTGTACTGTTCTCACTTACAACCATGCTCGTAGCGTAACTTTGCTCCAAATACTATACTCGAGGCATCTATTGATGCTAAACATGGTAACCAAAAACAGCTACATCTTTGTGTTTTTCAACACGATAATAATGTTTTTTCCAAAAAGTTATTTCCTGACCAAGAAATTACAAAACATTAAAGCGATTAGAATTTTATATTTACTCTCACATAGATTATTCCTATTAATTTAAATATTGTTTTTATTTTGAATTTTATATTTTTGTCATCTGTTGTGAATTTAAATTATATTTGTGACCTTCGCGTCATTTTGACGTATATAAATAAATAAATAAAATATTTACTATCAAAAATTAAACAAAATAATTTAAACATAGAAAATAGTAGCAAAAAATGAAAAAAATATATTTAAAATAGATTAAAGAAAATATTTTATACAAACAATTAACGTGACTGTTAAAATAAATTATTTTCTATGAGAAATCCATGAGATTGTAATGAAATAAAGTGAAAATGCAAAAGATTATATCATAAAGGCACGTGTAGTATATTGAGAATGTTTAAAGAACTACAGGAACTGATCTCTTATTTTACACAAATAAGGTAGTAAAAAATGTTAATTTTAGGGTGGCCATTCAAAAACACCATAAGGAGGCAAAAATTATCAAAAAAATAATTTGATCCTCCAAATTTCGTGTATTATTTAACGATAAAAATCCTAAATTGGCATAGCTAAAATCCTACAAAATCCTTTTTAAGAAAAAAAGTAAAATAGCCACGATAATTAAGTATAAAAATAATTTAAAAAATATTTTTAAACTAAAAAAATTTAAATTGGGGTATACCCCAAATAAACATCCATAAATTTCTTTAAAGGTTCTTTATGAGAAACTAAAGGTACATTAAATGTTGTTGTTGATATTCCATCATTATTGTTATAATTATTCAGAATTGTATTATTTGTTGCTGTAGGAAAAGAAGATGTTCGAATATTAGAGTAAATAGAGGAAGAAGGATCTTCAACAATTCTATCTTCTTCTAAATTATTTAAAGTAAAAATATAAAGAATATTTAAAAAAATTACATATTTTTTATTTTTAAAGTAAATTTTTTATAGAAAACAATCGTAATAAGGGAATATTATATCAGTTCAGTTATAGTATATGTTACATATGTTCAATAGCTGTTCAAAATTAGGGTTGCCGAAATGGCCCGACTAGGACCGAAAGATCGAGTCGGGCTTAGGATAATTGGCCCGAAAAAGACTCGGTCGGAAAAATTGAGGCCCGAAAAAAATGCTCGACCATCGACTGACTCTAAAATGGCAACCCTATTCAAAATTTCCATATATATGCCCTTAAAAATTAAATCTAATCCCTTAAAAACTAAATATATATTTTAGATATAAGAAAGTATTGATAAAATATTGGAAAGATAAGGTGTAATAATAGAGATGATGAGAGAGAAAAGTGAATAATTATATTTTAGATATAAGAAAGTATTGATAAAATATTGGAAAGATAAGGTGTAATAATAGAGATGATGAGAGAGAAAAGTGAATAATTATATTTTAGATATAAGAAAGTATTGATAAAATATTGGAAAGATAAGGTGTAATAATAGAGATGATGAGAGAGAAAAGTGAATAATTATATTTTAGATATAAGAAAGTATTGATAAAATATTGGAAAGATAAGGTGTAATAATAGAGATGATGAGAGAGAAAAGTGAATAATTATATTTTAGATATAAGAAAGTATTGATAAAATATTGGAAAGATAAGGTGTAATAATAGAGATGATGAGAGAGAAAAGTGAATAATTATATTTTAGATATAAGAAAGTATTGATAAAATATTGGAAAGATAAGGTGTAATAATAGAGATGATGAGAGAGAAAAGTGAATAATTATATTTTAGATATAAGAAAGTATTGATAAAATATTGGAAAGATAAGGTGTAATAATAGAGATGATGAGAGAGAAAAGTGAATAATTATATTTTAGATATAAGAAAGTATTGATAAAATATTGGAAAGATAAGGTGTAATAATAGAGATGATGAGAGAGAAAAGTGAATAATTATATTTTAGATATAAGAAAGTATTGATAAAATATTGGAAAGATAAGGTGTAATAATAGAGATGATGAGAGAGAAAAGTGAATAATTATATTTTAGATATAAGAAAGTATTGATAAAATATTGGAAAGATAAGGTGTAATAATAGAGATGATGAGAGAGAAAAGTGAATAATTATATTTTAGATATAAGAAAGTATTGATAAAATATTGGAAAGATAAGGTGTAATAATAGAGATGATGAGAGAGAAAAGTGAATAATTATATTTTAGATATAAGAAAGTATTGATAAAATATTGGAAAGATAAGGTGTAATAATAGAGATGATGAGAGAGAAAAGTGAATAATTATATTTTAGATATAAGAAAGTATTGATAAAATATTGGAAAGATAAGGTGTAATAATAGAGATGATGAGAGAGAAAAGTGAATAATTATATTTTAGATATAAGAAAGTATTGATAAAATATTGGAAAGATAAGGTGTAATAATAGAGATGATGAGAGAGAAAAGTGAATAATTATATTTTAGATATAAGAAAGTATTGATAAAATATTGGAAAGATAAGGTGTAATAATAGAGATGATGAGAGAGAAAAGTGAATAATTATATTTTAGATATAAGAAAGTATTGATAAAATATTGGAAAGATAAGGTGTAATAATAGAGATGATGAGAGAGAAAAGTGAATAATTATATTTTAGATATAAGAAAGTATTGATAAAATATTGGAAAGATAAGGTGTAATAATAGAGATGATGAGAGAGAAAAGTGAATAATTATATTTTAGATATAAGAAAGTATTGATAAAATATTGGAAAGATAAGGTGTAATAATAGAGATGATGAGAGAGAAAAGTGAATAATTATATTTTAGATATAAGAAAGTATTGATAAAATATTGGAAAGATAAGGTGTAATAATAGAGATGATGAGAGAGAAAAGTGAATAATTATATTTTAGATATAAGAAAGTATTGATAAAATATTGGAAAGATAAGGTGTAATAATAGAGATGATGAGAGAGAAAAGTGAATAATTATATTTTAGATATAAGAAAGTATTGATAAAATATTGGAAAGATAAGGTGTAATAATAGAGATGATGAGAGAGAAAAGTGAATAATTATATTTTAGATATAAGAAAGTATTGATAAAATATTGGAAAGATAAGGTGTAATAATAGAGATGATGAGAGAGAAAAGTGAATAATTATATTTTAGATATAAGAAAGTATTGATAAAATATTGGAAAGATAAGGTGTAATAATAGAGATGATGAGAGAGAAAAGTGAATAATTATATTTTAGATATAAGAAAGTATTGATAAAATATTGGAAAGATAAGGTGTAATAATAGAGATGATGAGAGAGAAAAGTGAATAATTATATTTTAGATATAAGAAAGTATTGATAAAATATTGGAAAGATAAGGTGTAATAATAGAGATGATGAGAGAGAAAAGTGAATAATTATATTTTAGATATAAGAAAGTATTGATAAAATATTGGAAAGATAAGGTGTAATAATAGAGATGATGAGACCTATTCAAAATTTCCATATGCCCTTAAAAACTAAATCTAAGGGTTGATGGAATAATTCAAACAATGTTGTCTAATTTCAACGATTCTTTGAACCAATAAAAATTGGATTTTGAGTTAAGACGATGAATAGAGGAATTTTAGAAAATAATTTTATAATTAAAAATACCATTAAATTGATTTTGTTGAATTGAAGGAAGAAGAGGAGGGGAAGAAGAAATTTGTTGTTGTTGGTTTTGTAAAATACTGTTTGAATTATTTAAAGATTGCTGACAAATATTATTAGAAGAGGGAGGATAATAAGGGGGTAAACATGGTGGAGATATATTTGGATTGTTGTTGTTATTTGAAATAATTATTGGAGCTCTTTTTTTGGCAGCAGAAGAGCCATCTTCATAATTATTTATTTCTCTATTATTTGAAGGTAAAAGAACAGAATTAACACCTCTTTGAATAACCTTTTTAAAATAATTATTTTTTAAAAATAATATAATAATTATTTTCTTTACCTGTAAAATAGAATTTGAAGAAGAGTTATTTGTTGTTGTTGTTGCTGTATTTCTTCTTTTCGTTCCAACCCTTTGTCTTTTCCCATTAGTTTGATTTTTTTGTTGGTCTTTAGGGGTAGAGGAGGAACGAGTAGAAGAATTAAAGAATTGAATATGTTGATGATGATTATTTTGATTTTCAGGAAATTTACGGAAAAGTTGAGAAATTGGTTCAAATCCGGGCTAAAAAATTTAATTTAAATAAAAAATTATTTAAATTATTTACTTGTGAGGCTAATTCCATAATTTTTGTATCATTCATGTCCGACTTATTACGATCTGCTCCCAACTCCAAAAGGACAGAAACTGTCTTAAAAAATAAAAATAATTTTCAAAGATTCTTTAAAAGTACCTCATATTGTGCCTGTTCAACAGCCACAAATAACGGGGATTTTCCCTAAAAAATAAATCTTATTTAAATTTTATATTTTCTTCCTAATTCTACCTCTTTATCAGTCGATTCTTTATTCGCCCCATGTTTAATAAGTAGCCGCACCATTGGTTCATTCCCAACAGAAGCAGCACGGTGTAATGCTGTAGTCAGCGTTTTACCAGAATAATTAACAAATTCAATTCTTTGTGAAGCTTCAACACGAGAAATTAAAAGTTCAGCAATTCGTAGTGAAAAAGGATTACTGTAAAAAGAAGGAGAATCTTAGAAAATATTTGGAAAATTTAAATTTTGAATTTTTTAATTTCTTAAATTTTTAATTTTTATGATTGAAGAGGAGTTTGTTTTAATTTTCATGTCAGAAATTCTTTTTAATCTCAAAATTCTGATTCACTGCTTAAATATTCGTCAATTAT